TTCAGTTTATTTTGTTTTTTTCTACACACTATTTAGCAGTTTTTTTACTCAGAATTAAAGTATCACAATATTAGGCCTACAATAGAAATTAGTTTTAACACTTGCAATTAACCAATATATGTATTGAAATGAAACGATATTTAACTAACAAGTAATTATTTTTTTCTGCAAAGAAAATCAAACATTTAAATGTCAAATTTCAGTGTGATGGATGGGCCTGATTTTGAGAACAAGGTTTATCAAAACGTGGTGTAACATCAGAAATGGCCACTCTAACTTCTTTAGAGATATTTAGCCTTGAACGATACTTTGACTTTATAGCTGCCAAAGCAGAAAAGCCTGTCTCGCATAACTAAGTTGTTGCGAAAGGAATCAGTACCTTCAATGCCTTTTGACTCAAAGTTGGGAATTCTTTGCCAATATGTATCCAGAACTCCAACAAAGACAATTTCTTAAATTTACTTTTTAATGAAGTATCACTAGTGAGATCGATGAGTTGTTCTTGCTCATTTACCTTCAGAGATGATGGCCCAAGAGCATTTTCGAATGGATTTTAAATCCAATTAAATTTATCAAAATCATTGCAAAAGTATTTTTCGAAATGAAATTTCAACATTATGAGATGATCAAGAATGCAGCTCTTTATGTCTATTGGAAGCACTGGATTATCAGTGTCTTGTACCATTGACACTAGAGTAGGGAATATGTCTAGCATGTCACTTTCCATACTGTTTCTCCAGAGCTCTAATTTTCTCATGAATGCCTTTACTTTGTCATTCTAAGAAAGTACAGTTGCCTCATTCCCTTGAAGTGAAGTGCTGAGGATATTTAGTTTCTCAAATACATCTGTGAGGTAAGCCATTTTCAATACAAAATCCTTGTTGCTGAAACTGTCTGCCAGTGAGTGATTTTCCCCATTTATAAAACAGAACATCTCATGCCTCAGCTTAAACATTCACTTTAATACCTTGCCTCTTGAAAGCCATGGAGCATCACTAAAAAAAAACAGAGCAGTGTGTTCGGCACCCATTTCCTCATACAGCATTTTAAAAAGTCTAGACTTCAGAGGATGCGGCTGCTGCCGAACTATCAACACTGTCTCTGGCATACGCGTTTTATAATTGCCGGTAAAGGGAATAATTATTAGTTATTTTGAAATTCATGATAATTAAAGCCTGTACTCATCAAAATTTTTCTATATGTATTTTTATTTTTTGTTACTTTTCTAATTGATTTAGGACAGTTTTAATTTTTATCTGTAGTAAAGATTGCCCCCCCCCCCGGGGGGTCGCGCCCCACAGTTTGAAAACCACTGATGTAAACTATGATTTTTTTTTACGATATGCTGTGACTAAATTCCTCCTAAAGGAAAGCAAATCTGCTGCAAACAACTTTGATCGCCCTAACCATGTCAATTACAGTTCCTACACGGATGCCAGAATATGCGACATTGCGTGATACGCTTTAAATATAGCAAACTGGACATCGCCAACCATCGCCAATGTACCTCACAGAAGTCGATCAAGAACGATCAAGAAACATCACCACGGAATGTAACGAGCGGAAGGTCGATTTTCTGATCGATTTTGATCACAGGTAAGAAGAAGTGTGGCGGTTAGAGCAGTTGTACTGTGGTTTGACACTTGGCACAATGTTGTGCAGGAGATGATGTGAAGACTTTAGGATAACGGAAAGTTTGTTGTCGTTGGGTTCCCCTGCTGCTGATGGAAGATCACCAAAGCCATGTATGGACATGTCAACGCAGTTGCTTCCATGGCATGTTGCCGAGAACGATGATCTGGGAAATTTGTGAGTAGCTTAGTGATTAGTAGCTTCTCAAGAACTCAAATCCATGGAGTTCGTTAATTAGTAATGCTGATTTACATTTATTTAGTATACTTTCAGATTTCTGCATTTAATATTTATGATATGTTAGACATTACTTCCGAGGCTTTGTGTTCATTTTCGTAACATTATTATTTTTACGGTGAGGAGTTGTTAGCCCTACGCCCAACCTCCAAGCTGGAGGACCACCCGTTGTCGGCTTTCCGCGACTGCTTATTCAATATATTCGCAGCTTCCCTCCAAACCTGGAGGGTGTCTCCTCTGTCAGCAACCAGAGGGCGTGCCATGCTATGGTGACAAGGGACCCACCAGACATGGTATGTATGGGTGTGAAACTTGGTCTCTGACATTAAGGGAGGAACACAGACTGAGGGAGTTGAGGGGAATATTTGGACCAAAGAGAGATGAAGTGACAGGAGGTTGGAGAAAACTGCATAATGAGGAGCTTCATAACTTGTACTCTTCTCCAAGTATAATTAGAATGATCAAATCAGGGAGGATTAGGTGTGCAGGACATGTAGCACGAATTGGGGAGAAGAGGAATGCATATAGGAAATTGATGGGAAAGCCAGAAGGCAAGAGACCACTGGGAAGACCAAGATGTAGGTGAATGGACAATATTAAAATGGATCTTAGAGATATATTATGGTATGGATTGGATTGATCTGGCTGAGGATAGGGACCAGTGGATTGCTCTTGTAAACATGGTAATGAACCTTCAGGTTCCAAAAAATTCTGGGAAATTCTTGAGAGGCTGCAGATTTAGCTTCTCCTCAGGAAGGGGTTAGCTCCATAAGTAGGTAAGTAGGTATTACTTCAATTAATTTATTTCATACAATATATTTCCATCTACAGTGCAACTTATTATTGTCCCCTTTCCTTCTCACAACATGTTTCGGCCCTACACGGCCATCATCAGGTGTGTCTAATTCACAAAAATTGTTGCACTGTATGGTATGACCAACTTCTCATATCACATGTGAATACAATATCACTTAACTTAAAATAAATGGACTTCAATTAAAATTAATAAAACTAGTTAAACTGTAGTTACAATTTCAACATTTTCTTGGCGTCATCATCCATTTGTGCAAGTGAGATTGTCTGAGGTCTCCTTGTTTGAATTTACTTGCTCAGCAGCATGGGTGATTATGTATTATTGTGTCACTGAATCAACGGCGGTGACTGTGTAGGAGGCTGTACACTGAATGACTGCTTTATCCATTTTGCAGTGCTGTCATCTATAATTTCACCATATCCTGCTAATGAAGTGGTTGCAACCATATAAACATTTCTGATTACCTATTAAGCGTAGAACATGATGACAATATTTAAGGCATGTAATTAAGATTGACCTGTATAAACAACACAGACTGTGTTCTTCTGGGTTATAATTCAGCAATACTTTGGAGTAATCTACTGCCTCCATTTACAGAGAACTGTGAAGCTGAAGGCAGCATGTTTGTCTGAAACGTTGGTAACCTCCTATGAAACTACATGGTGCCAAAACACAAAAGAATAAAAACAAATTTTCACCACTGTAAATGCCTGAAATGTGTGTGCATGCAAGACAGCACTGGTAGTTGCTTTGAGGGTTATTATGGAGTGACTACTCATATCAGGATCTACTTGAAGTGTTCAGCCATAAGCAGACTGTGACCAGTCAGCTGTAAGGAAGTGACTGAATGATGTTTCTACTACAGAGTTTAAATGGCATTTAATGAGAAGGAACACTGGCCATGAATGGGAGTACATATCTGAAAGGAATTGATCATGGCCTGTTTGAGTGTATTGTCACATCCTTTGCCTGGCGAGGCTGAAGAAAATATAGAAAATGGCAGTCAAGACAGTTGGAAGTCTCGTTGAGATTACAACTGGTTTGTCCCAACTACAGGACTGACACATCATTGCTATACCAACTTATTTGGTGTTGATGTTGACTATACTATCCTGAACTATGTTAACTATTTAACTCACCCATGTCATATAGCAATATAGCAATATTTAGAAGGGTTTGTCCAGTGATGAAGCAGGAAGTGAGGACACTCTTCTATACTTCAAATGTCATCTCTTAAATCCAATGAGTCTGTTGACATATAAAGCACGTTATGTAGGAACATTCTTGTTATAATGGTTCCCATATTTCAGTATTTCAAGCATTACTAGTTCTTATCAGGAGCTGGGATAGCACAGTTGTAATATCAGTTGACTATGGGCTGGATGGCTGATGGGTCATAGTTCAAGTTTGGGTAAGGGAAAGACTTTTCTCCTCTCCACATCCTTGAGACTAGTTTTGAGGCCCATCCAGTCTCCTATCCAATGGGTACCAGGAGCTCTTTCTCCACAGGTAAAGCAGCCAGGGAGCAAAGCTGACCACTCATCTAAAACCGGAGCCAAGACCAAGAATATGTGGATCTATACATCCGCTCCCCCACACATATTCATGTTGTAATGCATAATTAGTTAAGCACAAGGACAACTAGTTGTTACTTTTGTTACAAAAAATATGAAACATACTAAACTGTAAAAAAAACACAACCTTCTTAAAGTGTATAAATTTCCAGGTTAACCAAATACAACTTATCTCTTAATTCAACATCATCATCCAAGCTTACATCTCACTAGAACATAAAGGTCCTTACTGATCAGTCCGCAAAGGAAAGATTATTCAGAGCATTCTCTTCGGAGATGTACTCGTAATGCCATGAGTTCTGTTAGAAGTTCACCCTCATTTTGGAGGAACATATTGGCTCCATCCTCAGTGTCAAAGAGTAAATGAAGCAAGAAAACAGCAAACACAAGGCCACAAGTATGCACACCAGACATTTTTTCCACCCTTAAATTCTGGAAACAAACAAAACTGAATAAATAAATGAATAATAAAAGGAAGAATTATATCAAATATAAATGCTAAAATGAAATGGATTTTGAAATACTTCCCTTCTATTCAGGAGCTGGGATAGCTCAGTCAGTATAGTGAAGGGTTGGATGGCCTGTGTTCAATGCCCAGCACTCTTCTCCACAGCGTCTAGACCAAATCTAAGGCCCACCCACACTCCTATCAATGGGTACTGGGGGCTTTTTCACCTGGAGTAAAGTGACAAAAGCATGAAGCTGACCACTCACCTCATCTAGTGCCAAGGTCAAGAATGGTGGAGCCATTCCTCCACTCCCCCATTATGTCTTCATGACACAGCGCTTAACTGATTAAGCACAGGGCCATCTTTACATTTGCCCTTCTATTCAGAGTACTTCAGGGTGATCTGTGAAAATTGCAGTCTCAGGTGAATTTTGTGGTGACCCCCACCCCCAAGAAAACTGGTAGTTGTCTTTTGGAGTAAGTTTTGGCAATGCCCATTATGAAGATTACTACCTGTTGGGACATGACACGGTTTAGTCTGGTAGAAATTCATTGAAGTCCTGCTGGCTGTTTGCTGGTTGCTTTATTTACTGTTTTACTGTGAAGATGGAGCAGTATGTCCCCATAATGTTGGTGGACTTCCACTGGACAGCACACAATCACGTGCCAGAACATAGCACTCTTCTCTGTAGTGTAATTTCCACTCTGTCATATGAAGATTTTGTTAATTTTAAATTATTTTGTAATGTGTTTTATTTCTGGATGTCAGTAGTCACAAAAATAACAAGAAATTTTGGGAATAACTCATCATCTACTTTCCTTCCACTAGAATTTCAATATTTGATATGACAAGTAGAAAAAACTTTAGAATATATATGCAGTGAAGTCAATAAAACAATACTATTTGATAGGCTGAAATATTTGTATTACTAATGGGAGGATTTATGAAGTATGCTGTTGAGGTGGCCTCAGGTGGTATGATACATATACTGAGTTCCATAGAGATTGATTCACACATTCAAAATTTGCTGTTGGACACATGCACACATGTGTGCATGCTAGCAGGAAGGTGATTTCATAAGCCTAGCTTTATTTTTCCTAACTAATGATAGTAAGCTAAAAAAAAATTTTCAATTAATGTGATTATATCCCATTACTTACTGTTACACTTTTATCAGTGTTAGGTCATTAGCTGGCTGGTTTCTAGTGCTATCATTTTGAGAGTTAAGTCACATGTGCTTTTTTTTTTAACTTCAACCAGTTGGTGTATTTTAAGACTCATTTTCTATTCAGACACCACTTGGATAAGGTAGGTCATCCAGTTATCCAGGGTATTTCGGTTGACTGAGTAACTTAAACTTGTTCCCACTCTTGCCATGCCAGAGGTCTCCACATTCCTGTCCCACAGTGACATCTATGAGCATGGTAGGGAACTATGTGGTTGACCAAAAATGGTGTCAGATTCTGCTTTCACTCATCTCCTATGCTGAATGAAAGGTTCGTTTACATGCTGTAAATGTAGGATGTGTAACCCCCAGCCTTACTTCCCTTAGAAGTTTTTATAACCCTAATAAACCACCAACCTTGTGTCCATAGGCAAAATAATATTACCATTAGACTACCAAGAGAGAACCTTGATTAATGTTATGAGATATAATGTTTAACATCACACAGTATTCATACTGTCTTTTAATGAATAAAAGGAATAAATACAGTGGGAAGCTAGTGCATTATTAGAAGATGTATTGAAATCTATACATGGTGAATTAATTTGTTGATATAACTTCTTTATTAAGACCATCACAACACAGCTATATCAAGGTCATATGTATATTTATATATTATAACACAACAGGATGCATGAAATGAAAATTAATTTGTTCATGTTTTGTTATTGTTGTTTATCATTTTGTTTATGTAGACCACTGTGGGTTTCGAGGTAACAGATCAACTACAGATCAGATCTTTTGTATTGGTCAGATATTGGAGAAAAAATGGGAGTACAATGAGACAGTACATCAACTATTCATAAACTTCAAGAAAGCCTATGATTCAGTTAGGAGGGAAGTGTTGTACAATATTCCGATAGAGTTTGGGATACCCA